CAGCCAAAAAACTTTCACTTTCTCCAACTTCCTCCTGCACAATCTTACCCGGCTGAAGGCTTCTTTGTGGCGGCCATTGCTGACCACCGCTCCACCGCCTTGGGAAAAAGGAGTTTAGCTGGCTGGGGAGGGGGTTTGCGATACCCCCAAACCCCTATCTGGATCTCCTCTATCTTCGGTTGCCTCTACGGGGCAACCATATCCTCCAGATCCAGCTGGATTGGAGGCAGTTCGGCGGCGAGCGCAGCAGGAACTGCGCATGATCACGGATTCCTGCCACCACCAAAGCCTTGCAAACCGGAAATCCCCCCTCAATTTCGTTTTTGAGAAAGCCACAAGAAGACAGCAAAGGACTGTACAAATACTTGGCAAATACTTGGGAGTGTTAGCCATTGAGTTCACTATTATAAAACAGTAAATGATGGCCAGTGTTAACTACAGTACTAATTGTCATATATGCTATTTTTTTAAAAAAAAACCAACACATTCCCATTAATATGAATCTCTTTAACTTCTACTTCTCCCACCTTTTTTATTAAATGGCTGGTTTCAATTTTTTTTGAAGCTATACAATACCCTTTGAAAATTTCTTCAGATTCCTCCCCAAGCCATCTTTAGCTAATATAGTTATAGATTTCAAAGCATTCTTTATATATTTATTTTATTTATTTATTTATTTGATTTGCCAATTGTTTACAAGATAATAAGTATAAGTGTATACATAGTTGTGAATACATGAAATGGGTACATATAAGAAAAATAAAAGAATAAGAGAAACAATAGGACAGGGACGGTAGGCACGTTGGTGCGCTTATGCACGCCCCCTAAAGACCTCTTAGGAAAGGGGTGAGGTCAATAGTAGACAGTCTAAGGTTAAAGTTTTTGGGGTTTGGGGAATATAATGAATTATCCAAATGAGTTTTCAGGATGGGATGTTTTCAGAGGTGGGATTCAAATTTTTTAACAACCAGTTCTGTGGGAGTGGCTAGGTGGGCATGGCTAGGTGGATGTGGCCATGTGACTGGGTACCCATTAGTGAATCTAACAATGTCAGCAAACCAGACTATATTCTTTTCAATAACTGTTATATCAGGCATGATATGAACAAGGTGCTAGACTGTTTGGATCTAACTCTCATAAGTCACTCATTTTCCAGAACCATTCAAATTTATGGTTTCAGTACAGATAGTCCTTGACTTATAATAGTTCATTTAATCATTGTTTAAAGATACAGCAGTTGTGAGCTTTGGAATCCTTATTCATTGCTGCCACATAGCTTGAGAAAGTGGGAGGGGTGATTTTAATTGAGTAGCTCTTAGTAGACAAAATAGAATTCTTTTGTTAGTTCCAAGTTAAAGAGTGTGGCGCAGGAAGAAATGGAACTTACTTTGGGATTGGTTCATGTGATGTGATAATGAATAAAAAGGGAATGGTTTGTAGGTTGGGACATACATCGATAACAATTTGGACAGAGGTTTCATTGAACCTGCCAAATCTAGGTTGGCCACCCTAGTGCTGTTTAAAGAAAAGAAAGATGGCAGGTTGAGATTATGTGTTGATTTTAGGGGTGTGAACTCGTGTGTGTCAAAAACATGTACCCTCTCCCCCTCATGAAGGACTTATTAAAACACCTGTCAAAAGGCAAGGTCTTCATCAAACTAGATCTGAGAGAAGCTTACTACTGAGTCCGCATAAAGGAGGGAGACGAATGGAAAACTGCCTTCAACTGGGTAGTTTCCAATTCTTAGTCATGCCTTTCGGACTCCAAGCCCCCCCCCCAAGGATTTATGCAACTCATCAATGAAGTGTTACATCTGCACCTGTACCAGGGGGTCCTCGTCTACCTCAATGACCTCCTTATGTTCAGCGAAACTATTGAGGAACATGTCAAATTAGTCAGAAAAGTGCTGAAAAAACTTTTAGACACCAAGTTATATGTAAAACTGTCAAAATGCAAATTCCACAAGGAGTCGCTGGATAACCTAGGCTACCGAATATCCAACCAGGGAATTGAGATGGACCCTGGAAAAGTGAAAGCCGTGCTAGATTGGCAACCCCCAAAAACACAAAAGCAACTTCAAAGCTTTTTGGGTTTTGCCAATTTCTATAGACAATTCATTCCTTCTTTTGCCAAGGTCGCCCTCCCTTTGACAGAGTTATTAAAATGGGGCCTTCTCCCACCAAACTGAAGCCCAGTCAACCCCTTTCTTGGACAATGGACTGTCAGAAAGCTTTTGAAACCTTAAAATGCCTCTTTGCAGCTGAGCCCATTCTCGAGCACCCAGATCCGACCAGACCTTTTATAGTCCAAGCTGATGCTAGTGATGTAGCTGTCATGGCCATTCTTCTCCAAAAGGATTCTCAGAACTGGCTAATTCCTTGTGCTTATGTGTCCAAAAAGATGACAGACACAGAGCGAAGATGGGCGGTTTGAGAGAAAGAAGCATTTGCAGTGCGATGGTCTTTGCTGATTTGGAGGCATTTCCTAGAAGGGGTGAAGGAGCCGTTTGAGGTGTGGACTGATCACAAGAACCTCGAGGCTCTAAAGACACCTTGGAAGCTATCACCTAAACAAGTCTGCTGGGCTCAATATTTCAATCAGTTCAACTTCAACATGAAATATATCCCTGGAGGAAAAAATATATTGGCAGACACCCTGTCAAGAAAACCCCAATTTGACAGTCACCGAGAGGAAGTAGTGCAGACTACAATATCTTAACTGGCAGGCCAAGTAACCACCTGAGGCCAAGCCAACCACAACCCCAGATGCCTAGAAGACAAACTGACAACTGAGTTGAAAGCAGCCCTATTGACCAATCCTTGGTTTGTGGAGCATCAAACCGAGTTGACAATGAATGAGGGACAGGCTTGGAAAGGGACTAAACTTTATACGTACCTGCTAATCTAAGACTAATGGTACTAATGCGTAGCCATGACTCACAGTTGGGGGGACATTTTGGTTTCTTAAAAACCCTACATTTAGTCAGAAGACAGTTCTGGTGGCCAAAAATGAAACCTGACGTCGAGGACTATGTGAAAAGCTGCTCAATTTGTGCCATGATGAAACCCCCTGGTCTTCTCCAACAAGTAGCTGAACCAACACAGCTGTGGGAAGAAACCACAATGGACTTTATTGTAGAATTACCTGAGAGTGGAGGGAATACAATCATTTGGAGTGTTATTGACTTATTCTCTAAGCAGGCCCACTTTACAAGGATTTCCATCTGCAAAAAAGCTTACAAAACTGTTCGTGAAGCATATCTATAGGCTACACAGAGTACCTCGTAGAATAATCTCAGACAGAGGGGTACAGTTTATCACTAAGTTCTGGAGGGAGTTTTTAAGGTCTATTGGGTCATCCCAAGGATTATCCTCAGCATTCCATCTGGCATGCAACAGAGCAGCAGAGAGGGCGAACGCCATGGTGGAACAATACATTAGATGCTATGTAAATTATCAACAAGAAAACTGGGTGGAGTTATTACCATTTGCAGAGGTTGCTTATAATAATGCAGTACATAGCAGCACAGGCTTGACTCCATTCCAAATCAACACTGGCATGGAATTTGTCCCTGTGCCAGAATTACCTAGAGAACCCCCCACATCCATGTCTGTAACAGAATTGATGAACTCATTAAAAAAGGGTTGGGAGAATACGAAAAAAGCTTTGACTGAGGCTGCTAAAGAATACAAAAAGCAGGCGGACAAACATAGATCCCTCCGACCACCGTTTAAAGTAAGGGACAAAGTATTTTTGTTAACAAAATATCTTAGATTGAAACTTCTAGTAAGTAGTTGGGCCCGAAATTCTTAGGTCCATTTCCGATATCAAAAATAATCAATCCAGTCACAGTCCAATTAAGTCTTCCCCAGTTACTGGGAAAAATACACCCAGTGTTCCATAGTAGTTTGCTAAAACCAGCTGATACATCAATTATAAGACCAATACCAACAGCGCTCCCTAAACCTTTAATCGTACAGGGTGAGACACATTATGAGATCAAGAAAATCCTCAATTCTAGATTAAACCGAGGATGATTACAATACTTGGTATTGTGGAAGGGTTGCCCTGTATTGGATGTTACTTGGGTTAAAAGTTGGGATGTACATGCAGATAGGTTGGTTAACCAATTCCATGAGGAATTCCCCAACAAACCGAAAGGTCCTCTTGGAGGGGGGCGAGGGGGTTAAGGACATCGCATTAACCCCTGGTTGTGTTTTGTTTCTTATTTCTTATACGAGGTGAACTTCTCAAGGGGGAGACTCCTGTCAGCTTTGGAATCCTTATTCATTGCTGCCACATAGCTTGAGAAAGTGGGAGGGGGGGTGATTTTAATTGAGTAGCTGTTAGTAGACAAAATAGAATTCTTTTGTTAGTTCAAGGTGTAGCGCAGGAAGAAATGGAACTTACTTTGGGATTGGTTTATGGTTTGTGATGATGAATAAAAAGGGGGTGATTTGTAGGTTGGGACATTGTGGGAAGTCCGGGAAACTTTTAGTTTCGAAATTCCAGAGATGTGCCAGGTGCTATTCTAATAAAAGTACTTTTGAGATTATGCTTGTCTCAGAGTTACTGATCGGAATGGAGGTTCCCTATAACGCTGACAGCAGTACTGAAAAACGTGACTTAGGACTGTTTTTCACACGACTATTATATCCTAATGATCATATGATTAAAATTCAGACACTTGGCAATTGGTTCATATTTTTGACTGTTGCAATGTCCCAGGGTCATGTGATCACCTTTCGTGACCTTCTGACAAGCAAAGTCAATGGGAAAGCTAGATTCGCTTAACAACTGTGTTACTAACATAACAACTGCAGTGGTTCACTTAACACGGGGCAAGAAAAGTTGTAAAATGGGACAAAATTCATTCAACAAATGTCTCACTTAGCAACAAAAAATTGGGGCTCAGTTGTGGTGGTAAGTGGGACAGCAGAGCCTGATTATCTATTAATGTGCTGTAAATGACTAACAATATATATACTTCTATTTACAGGCTGTACATTGTGACAGACTTCATGGGCATCAGGAATGAAAGCTTTATGAAAGTAGCAGCAGTGGGGACCTGGATGGGAGATTTTGTCACAGCTTGGATGGTAAGAACTTTTGTAAAAACCAATCCAAAAAGTTGAACAGAAATGCAATTGGTAATTGAAATGCAAAATAACTAGAAGGTCTCTAAAGCATAACTCAAATCAAATAGGCCCTAGGATAACAGTAGCATGATCAAGAACAACTGGATATGGTTGTACCTTGCAAACAGAACAGTTTAGAAGCTGAATGGCCCTCTTGGTATCAGTCCTGGCTAATGATATTGAAGCTTATTTCATATTCTTAGTTCTTAATTTACTTTATTGTCATTGCACCTCGTATAACGAAATCAAACACCATCTTCAGTGCACATAATGACCATGAAAATAAACACAAATACACATCCTTCACACTCCACACATTGAATTAAAAACCCCGAAACCACACCAACACTGTAAAATTCAAAAGAGCTACTGCCCTGGGATATAAGCTATTTTTCAGCCTATTTGTCTTTGCATTTATTATTCTGTACTGTCTGCCAGATGGTAATAATTCAAAAAAAGGGTTCCCAGGATGAGATGGATCTTTAAGAATGTTTTGAACTTTCTTAACGCAGCGGAAGCTATAAAGCTCTTCCAAAGAGGGGAGAGGGAAACCAATTATCTTCTGGGCAATGACGTTAACCCACTGGAGTGCTGTCCTATCTGTCACTGTGCAATTGGCAAACCATACAGAAGTGCAGTAAATTAAGATACTCTTTATGGTGCAGCAGTAGAAGGTCACCAGCAGTTTTTCATTAAGTTGTTGTTTTCTGAGAAGTCTCAGGTAGTATAATCTCTGCTGGGCCCAGTGCTGCAATGTGAGCACCCAGGTCAGGTCCTCTTTTGTGGTAACACCTAGAAATTTAAAACTGGACACTTGCTCCACTCGATCTCCATTGATAAGCAAGGACGGGATGTCTGGTCTGTTCCTTCTATAGTCCACTATAAGCTCCTTGGTCTTATTGGTGTTGAGGACCAAGTTATTGTCTCCACACCACAAAAGCAACCGGTCCACCTCATCTCGGTAGGCAGACTTATCCCCCCCGGAGATGAGTCCCACCACTGTTCTATCATCTGCAAATTTAGTAATAGTATTACTAGCGTGAGTGGGAATGCAGTCACATTTATATATATATAAATATAATATATGTCTAGGTGTGTTCGGGTCTTTTCCCGTGTAAGATTAAGAGTATCTTGGCGACGTTTTGGCGAGGTCCCACTCACCATCCTCAGGCTGGTGCTTTAGGCTTCGTGCCAGTGCAAGCGTGTGTGTTCAGAGCTACCGTCTCTCTATAAATACTGATGATGAGGGCTGGTGTGCTGGGCTGGTTGGCTGCGATGCTGCCTCTTGATTGGTTGATGGAGTTGTAGATCACTACAAAACAAATGACCCAGGAGATTAGAGCACAAGATCCAGGATATCTCCACAACAAAACTCACAAGGCCATCACACAGCCCATTATATATTTTTAGTCCTGCTACCACCCCATATTCTTCTAATTCTTTAATTAGATAGGTCCCTGACTCCATTGGATGTTCCACAAAAACCACTAAGTTGTCCACAAACGCCTGTACTTTATATTCTTCTTTTTTGCTCTTCAGTCCAATTATCTCCTTTCTCTATCTAATCTGATTTAAAAGCACTTCGATGGTCAAGATAAAAAGCAGAGGCGACATTGGACATCCCTGCCTAACACCTTTCATAATCTTAAAGTTTTCAGTCATCTCCTCATTTATAATTACCCTAGCTTTTTGGTTTGAATAAATTGTGCCAATCATTTTCTTGAATTTAGATCCAAATCCCATATTTTCGACCTGTTGGATCAAGAACTGCCAGCTGAGATTGTTGAAGGCCTTCTGAGCATCCAAAAAAATCAACACTGCCTGCTTTTCCGGGTGGGTCTCATAGTATTCTAATACATTTAATACTATCCTTATATTCCTTATCTGTCTAGAAGGTAGAAAGCCATTCTGGTCAATATGAATAAGTTCATTTAATATAATTTTTAATCTTTCCAACATTATTGTTGCAAATATTTTATAGTCTATGTTCAGGAGTGAGATTGGTCTATAATTTTTAATCTGTTTGTGATCTAAATCTTCTTTAGGAATTAGTGAGATATTCGCTTCTCTCCATGAATCAGGTAATTTTGGCAAAGTCTAATACCTCATTGTACACATCTAACATCACTGGTTCAAGACATTCATAAATACATTTATACAGTTCAGCTGGAAGACCATCCGGCCCTGGCGTCTTATTATCTTTCTGCCTTTCAACCGCCCTTTTCAATCCCATCACTGTTATTTCTTTATTTAATATCTCTTTCTGTTCCTCTTTAATTTCTGGGAGACTTTTCCTTTTCAAATATTGTTCTATATTCTCAGGGTTTATTCCATCCTCCCTATACAGTTGTTCAAAATATTTTTGTACTATTTTCTTTTTCTCAGTCATTCGATATTCTAATTTTCCATCATCATCCTCCAATTCTTGTATCAACCTTCTTTCTCTTTCTAATCTTAATTTATGGGCTAACCACCTCCCTGGTTTATTTGCATGTTCGAAAAAATTCTGTGTTGCCCTTTTCACCTCTTTAACTCTCTCTTCCTGATTTATAATGTTCAATTTATGCCTAGTAAGAATCATCTCTTTCCTCATTTTTTCATCTTGTGGGGTTTTTTTTTTTGTAATCTACTTTCTAGGTCTTTAATCTCCTCCTGTAATTTATTCTGATTTTGCCATCTTTCCTTATTCCTTTTCGCTGTATATGCTGTTACCAGCCCCCTCAAGTCTGCCTTTGCTGTATCCCATATGTTCTGTAATGATGTTTGCTCCACTGTATTTTCCTTTTTAAAAAGTTCCATTTCTTTCTTAATTTTTCTCTAAAAAATCTTTCTCCTTTAAAATTTGGGGATTAAGTATCCAGCTTCTACTCTTTCTTTTCCTTCCTTTCCAAATTATTTTTAATGGGTAATGATCAGCCCATACATTTGTCATAATCTCTATCATATCTAGTTGGTTTCCTAGTTCTGTGTTCATCCACGCCATGTTTAATCTAGACCACGGTTTGTGTGGGTTAGAGTAGAACGTGAATTCTTTTCCCCCCAAATTTATTCTCCTCCATTAATCTATCAAATTTAGTTCCTGTGTCATATTGAAAAAAGATCTGGGCAAAATTTTCCTTTTCTTTTTGTTCTTTGCATTACTAAAATAATCCTTCCTTATATCTACTACCGCATTAAGATCTCCCACAACGCATACGTTGTCTTGTCCCATCTCAACAATTCTCTCATGTAATTCCTTATAGAATTGACTTTGGTTGTCATTCGGTGCATAAACTATAACTAATAACATTGGCTTGTACCATAATTCTAGTTCAAGTTGTTAGGGTTTGGGAATTAACCCCTAGCAGAGTATTGCAGCAGTAGT